CTTCAGTTTGGCATTTATCTCTGTCAGGTCATGGTTCTGATTTCAGTTGTTTTTCATATTGAGCTGCAAAGCTGTTGTTGGGTTGATATGGTCGGGCTTGCCTAGCCTTACGGCACGGCGCCATCACGACCGGGATTTGGGGTCGTGACAGAGAGATATGGAGTTGGAGGCGGAGCAGAACCAGGTCAGAGCGGCAGAAATGGCCGCGGAATGGAGCGGAAAGTTGGAGGCGCTGGAAAGCGAGGTTGTTTCCATAAAACTGCTGGAGAGGGATGCCTCGAGAGGGCTAGGGCGTTGGAGGAGGCGATCAGCGTGCATGAGTCTGAACGAGAATCGGAGAGGACTACGGCGACCCTTAGGGAAGAGCGGCTCGAGGAACGGATTAATATCTCTAACCAGGAGGTCCAAGTTTTATCGGATCGGGTTGCGGCCTTGGAGGAGGAGAACCGACGACTGCGGGACCAAGTTGTGTCATCGCACACTGTTATTCCCGACCTGCAGGCTCATAAACTTTGGGTCTATGCCGAGGTTCGGCGCGATATATTCAAGGACTTGTGGGAAGCGGGTGTTGTGATCGAGGCGTCTTTCGAGGAGGCACGCCAGAAGGCTTGTGAGGCCCGTGCCAGCTGTGGTTATGATGTGGCGACGCCCGAAGCCGATGGTACGAGTGGTGGCAAGGATGGCGCCGAGTGAAAGAGGATTTGTTCTTGGTTTTTCTTTGTTTTGTTCGCCGGTTGACATTCATTTGTTTCTCTTTGTTTTTCTTTTTTCTTGTGTTGACCGGTCCTGGCCGGGTGTAAGCGTGACCCGCATTCTCAAATTTGTGGATAATGAATTCTCTTTTTCGTCATTTGCCTTGTGTTCATTTTGTACTTTTTTTTTAATGTATTTGAAGTGATGGCCCGTCTCGAGTTTGGTTGAGGTCGTCGTATCATCTTTTAAATGATGATGCTTCTTATCCTTTGACTCGGTATGGGCGGGTCGAACTATCGTCTTTTATGGCGAAGGTATTTAGCCCTAGTCCCAATTCGAACGAGGTCGAACTATCGACTATGATGGCGGAGGCCCTTAGCCTTAGTCACAGTTCGAACGAGGTCGAACTATCGACTATGATGGCGGAGGCTAGTCCCAGTTCGAACGAGGTCGAACTATCGACTATGATGGCGGAGGCTAGTCCCAGTTCGAACGAGGTCGAACTATCGACTATGATGGCGAAGGCACTTAGCCTTAGTCCCAGTTCGAACAAGTTCGGACTATCGACTGTGATGGCGAAGGCACTTAGCCTTAATCCCAGTTCAAACGAGGTCGAACTATCGACTATGATGGCGAATGCACTTAGCCTTAGTCCCAGTTCGAACGAGGTCGAACTATCGACTATGATGGCGAAGGCACTTAGCCTTATATTTCGAACGAAGTCGAACACCTTAATTTTGATGGCGAAGGAACTTATCCTTATAGTTCGAATGAAGTTGAACACCTTGATTTTGGAGGCGAAGGCACGCAGCCTGAGTCACGGTTCGATCGAGGTCGAACTATCTATTTTGATGGCGAAGGCACTTAGCCTTATAGTTCGAACGAAGTCGAACACCTTAATTTTGGAGGCGAAGGCACGTAGTCTGAGTCCCAGTTCGAGCAAGGTCGAACTATCTATTTTGATGGCGGAGGCACTTAGCCTTATGGCGAAGGCACCTCTATGGCCTAGCCTCTCCATGAAGTTCTTGTTCAACGCTAATTTCTATTCTTTTCCTTTTTCAATATTTTTATTATTTATTCAAATTAACCTCCTTTAATTTTTCAATTTCAAAGTAAAACTTATCGTGACCTTTTACTCTACCATTTATACGATTGTGAAAACTTAAACTTAAACGTAAGAGTTTAACTCATATGCACTAAGAATATAATAAATTAATTTTACAATATTTATCAGTGTGTAGAATATGTTGTAGCATGTATTTATCGCCCAATTTCTAGTTTACCGATATCTCCTTTTTATTTTATAGACGTTTATCAGTAGTAACCTTATAGGAGTATATGATGATCCAAGAAAAGAAACTACCCCT